TTGACCATTGAGATGGTCCTGTGTCATTGATTATAGTAACCATTTTGGAATGTATTTGGATATCCATAATGATAGAGGCCTGTATAAATACCAGAATGTTTTTCGTTGTAGTGACTGGGAGGATTAAAAGAAGTGTTCACATGTCCTCAGTATTTTTCTTGTCTGCTCCACCGAATCAGATAAAGAAGACCCAATATTTCAAGTTTATGAATTTTATTGTTCATTCAGAAACTGTGGTGTGCAAATTCATTTGAAAACAACACAGATATGATTGTGGGTTTTACATGCGAAGGATGAACCTATGCACGAACCACTGAGGCAAACGGGGACTGGGGGTGAATGCATTGAACCCCCACCCCCCATTTTTGTGAGTGTAATACAGTCTGGCTACCAATGATAAAAACGGGTGGATTTCTCGAGGACTCACAACCAGAGCCAGGCTTACATGTTAAATTCACTATCGAGAAAAAAGTTTCGAAACTTCATACTGGATATTTCAAGGAGTGGTTCAACGAGTAAAATAACCGAAAAAATCTTGTATGAGTTGAACTTGGGAACTGCTTTTGCAGGGGGAGTGAAACTCATCGTACCGAGAACTTAGTATTCAGACATGAGAAATGATTTTAAGTCGCGATAGGCTAGGTGCAGTATTAAACAGATGGATGGAAACAAAACTGCCCAAAAGATGGGCAATGGAGGCACGGATCGAAAGTTGGACCTCAAAGGCCTAGTTATTTTTCTCATATAAAGAATTGCCTGTATCCCAAATTGAGTGCTTGGGACGTTATTTAAAAACAGTCGAGTGTTTAAAAACGGTGCACTTAAATGGGTGAAGCATTGTCGAAATTTCGCTTGTAAAATGAGGAGAAAATACATTTATCTGCAAAACAGTACTCGTTTTCGGTCAGGGCATCAGTGTATAAAATGCACCTATATCTGGGGGACTTACCGAACTCCCACGGAACAATACCCCCAACCGGATCACAATACGTATACCATAGTATCTGTAGAATCGCATGGACTATTCAAGATAATTTCAATCGGATTTCTCCTAGTAGATTGTGCGACTAGAGTTTATTTTGCATAGATCGGCTGATCATTCCATTCCCCCCAAAAATATTGCTTTTAAATTACTGTTCACGTTGTGAAATAGAAAGACTCCACAACCTTGTTTGACATATGTATGTATGTATGTATGTATGTATGTATGTATGTATGTATGTATGTATGTATGTATGCAGGTATACAGTACCCCCAACGGATGCCTTTAGTTAATAAAGAAATAACAATACCAGAAAGCATTCTTTTCATCCGCGTTTTTATTTCATCACTATCTTCATTCGGTGATTGAGCAGTGGTTTTAAAATTTTCTTATGCCCTGGCAATCCACTCATTGCAGGCAATGCCAGTAAGGAACGAAAGATGATGAAACCGGCAAACAACAGAAATCTTCTTCTGACTTGGAAAATCCGTAATTTCGATACCTAGGGGTTTGTGGTAATTTTGCATTCTTTACGGTCCGAGAAGAAGGCAGCAATGTGTGTTAGCTCGAGCGCGTACAACGGGAGGTGAGTTGACTGCCACAATTCAAGTGCAGAGTAAAAGAAAACATATTTCGGTGAGTGAAGGGGGAGATGGGTGATTAAAACAGAAACGTCCATCTATTCCAACTTCGATTTTAGCCTAAGCACACTGTGAAATGGATCTGAGCTTGAAAGACTACTGATGATCTATCCAGGACAGCCACTGGCAGTTCCACAAAGATCGTCGAATAATGGCTGGTATACAACACGCTGAATCAGCTGCTCTTGTGGTTTCGATTCGCGTCCGAGTGATACCGGGGTATCTCCTTTGCTTGTGGACTCCCAGTCCACTTTCAGGTTACCCGTGTACTCGCAAGGGACCGTTGGTGTCGCTTCGATCGAATGACATCGCCAATTCAGTTGCGATATAAACAGCTCATATCGAATGGTACCACTTTGCGTTGCCGAACTGAAAAAGGGGAGTAGAACATCATAAAAAGTAGAAAGTGGCACAATGTATACTACTTGGTGAAATTAGAGGTGATAGTTTATGTTCACACTTTTCAGGGTGAGTCAGTACAGAACATTGATAGAAAACAAACTCAAAAGTTTTAAGTTAAAAGATTTGTATTTAAGGTTGAATAGATCAATCTGATTGACCCTTGAAACTGAACATACACAGAGAATACACAGGCCGTCCAATGAAAAGTATCAATAAAATCTGCAATTAGTATACGATCCTCTAAAGCACACATTTATCTACGTAATTGAATTAAGTCTCATTGGATTGTGCTGACTTGACAATAATGTCATTATGTTTTGAAGTTGGCAAGGGAGGAAGACTTCTATAACATGTAATGAAACTTCAAAATAGCCTACAAAGATGCAGGAGAAACAAATTAATAAACATGACCTTGACATATAAACATTGTTATATTGATCGTAAAACAATTGACCGCTCAGAATCAGGGATGCAATTTGTATCGATACGGCAGACGCTAACGACAAAACCTCAGGTCCACGAATCAAACGCACGTGCTGCTCTCGTACACATTGACCAGAAACGATAAAACTGTATGTACCGAAACAGCATTCCCGCTACATTTTGCCCACTTATGCATTGATTCAGAACCACATCCTGCATTTAACGGGGCGGCAACTGCGGAGAGGGTGGAGCGTGGAATGTGAACGTTTAAACTACCAATTAAATTGATGCTAAACGGCTTAGTTGCAACAGATGTTTCCTAGCTAGACAACTGGTTTTATTATTGTCCAGAACTTAACTTCTTCTGTATTTTATTAAACTCGTTCATGTAGATGTGTTAGCTTGATCCAGATGCATGTGGTGTACATAGATCGATATGGTAAGAAACTAATCATAGTCCAGCTGTTCAAATGTATGTATAACACTTGCAAATAGAGTTATTGCCGTATAAAATAAAAATGTCCACATTGGATACTGATCTAATCAGCTTTAGCAGACCCGTCTACTGTTCAAGCTTCAGTGGCTTCTGGATGATAGTCATTTAGTACAATGATTCGACAGAGCTTTCTGTGGTAGCTTAGCCGGAAGGGTGATGAAGGAAATTCAGTGTTTTGACGCTCCTCATTCCCACAAGTCTCAAGTCCTAAGACATATCTCAGACATTTACCTTGCAAGCACACGTACTTGTCTGCATGAGCTGCGTGTGTTTCTCCACATTCTCCTAAACACTCCCATTGTGCCACATTCCGCTGACAGTAATGGATGTTGTTCGATCGAAATATGCATTACTGTTATTCAGATTTACATTTATTTAGTGTTCTGCTTGCAGACTGCATTCGATTTGATGCTTGAACAGTGCGTAAGCCTTGTAACTGGTGAAGTCAATGTCCCATATGGATGTCCTGATTTATCAAAAAGGCTTCCTTGAAATGATAACAAAAAGTCCCAATTAAACCCCAGAAAAATGCGAGTTGCATAAGATATTTCAATTTTCAATATTTTACCTGTAGTCTGGGTAGTGATCATGCAACGAAGAGTTCTTGGTTGCATTCATGGTATTAAAGCTGATGTGACATTTTTCCAAATGGTAAACTGATCACACAAGGCGTAGTGTAGGCGGGTAAGCACTGCGCCTCACGAGGATAGCATTCAGCACCATACAAACCAAACGCGAGTTTTTAACTTTCATGAGCGTTAAGTAGCACATCAAATTGATGCACTTGAATTAACAAGATAAAAACGAACAGTTGCGATTCGGTGGTTTGCTGGGGTACCGAAAGGGTGGAAAAATAGACGGTGATGATGAGCATGACAATGGTGTGGACGATAACGATAAGCTTTAGCGCATGAACGTCACGCACAATAAACGCCTCATACTTTCGCAAACTCCATTAAAGAGCCCGATTATTATCATGTTGCACTGGTTTCTATGGGTGGATAAGCCCAAGGTGAATAATTCAACTATATTACGATATTCGTGAGTAAATTCTTTTATTCATTGTATTGAGTAGTGGGCATTATAAATTAATCCTATTCCTTGAAAGTGTTCAAGTTGAAAAATAAATTTGTACAAGGGAATGGTGATGGAAAGGAAGAAACTGGTCTTTGCTTTCGCCGTTCTTTCTGAGAATTTCCTCTCAGCACTCGATTAAGTGTAGTTGTAAAAGGACAAAAATGTCAATATATGTGATACAAAATCTTCATCCCCGAATACCAATTTCATTTGAACATAGATTATCAGCACAAATCGATTTTAGTTGAACTAAATTACCTTATATTATCTGGCTGTGCGGTACGCGATGCTCGTTTGATTCCGCCTCCACATCTACCCATATAGCACATATACATTCTGTGAGGTCAGAAAACGCGAATTGAACGGGTTTAATGGCATAACCGATAGCCATCCCCAGAGAGCCAGAGGAACTAGAAAGTTGGAAGGATCTGTATGCACATTTAATTGGTGCTTTTTTTTTACCAGAATGACTGATTTTGTCTTTATTCTGTCTGTGTGTTACGATCATTTCAGTTGCCATTTCATTTCGGATTAGCAATCAGATGTTCGATGTATGAAGGCAAATTGCGATACGAATTGCGATCGTCTCTAAAGAGATCGAATTGGAGGGTAACGATTGGTGATCATTTGAGGAGAATTGGGCGCAGATGCGATTGTCCTGATGCGAGCGAATATCACAGGATGTGACGTGGATTGTTGTTCTCTAGAAAGGGGGCATTAGTATTAATTTTGATGAGAACAGTTTTGTTCCGCTTCCAGGTTTCTTCATATGAAAACTAAAATTTTCTCGCACATATTTATTTACCACGAGGGTTTCTGACTTAAACGACATAGTTATAAACATTTGGATCGGTTCATAAACCGATACATAGGTGATTACCTGTGATTCAGTCTGACATTATTTCGTGTAAACAACACTACCTGACATAGACGTGACCAATTGGACGAATGAAAAATCACACCGCTATGGAGATTACCTTAAACGTTTTGTGTGCATATTTCGCTACATCCCGAACAGGAACCCCATTCAGTTATTACCGCGGAAGTTTAATGACGGTCGTTGGCGAGGGAGAGGGAGACAGCATGTTTTTCGCTCACATGACATGCTGTCGTTGAGAATGATTGTTCAACAGAAAACAATCATAATTTAAGCTTTCTTCCACTACAGAATGTTTTATTTTCTAAGTCATTATTGAATTATAATGAATTCTCAGCTTTTTTGGCAGATACATTGACAGATGTAAATGAAATAAAAGTTGTCTATAATATGTGATGAACTATAATGTTTTACCTCCAAAATTACAGACGAATATGATAAAATTTTAATTTTGCACAACCAAAGCATAACTGGTGACTGAGTACCCATTGAACTAACTCGATTGTTTGTTTCTGTTACAAGTAATACAGCAATAGGCTGTCTGAGCGACTATAAATTCACTGTGCTCATCTGATCATTAGATGCTACAAACAAATTAGTATAATCAGGATTCAGTTGGATTAACTGATCCAGGTTGAACTCCCACATAGCAAACTATTCGTGGTTTTTTTGTGCATCTCAAAACTTCCTCCGATACTTCATACCTTCAGTTATGTTCTCGATCAATTAAATTACTCATGCAGTGGAGATTTTAGCATATTCCGTCTACTTGAACTGATACTGCTGATAATATAGATGAACAAGTTTTCTAAAAAGAAATGTGCACACTAGGACGATAACGAGTAGTCTTGTTCACAGAATGACCTCGGGATGCGTTAGATGCGGTTACACTGAGTGGCTCTCACCATAACTTCTGTTTCAGTTTATGTAACCATTAGCCATGCATTTTCATGAGCCGGTTTTGGTTGCTGACTTTTACCTGCTCTTTAGTATATAAGAGCAGAAGGAAGATTGAAATGTTAGGAGCAAAGTCAGAGGGCAGATAGAGAATTCTTATAGATTGCAGTTGCAAGAATATTGGGTAGATGCATGAGCGCCATTGTTGACGACACTCAGTCCTAACCCCCATTGTCTCTCCCAGCATAACCGAAAAATGGCTTGAATGCACGTCATACCGCCCAAGTAATCATCCACCTACCTCTCGTAAAAACAGATTCGTGGCCATCTGTTATTTTCTTCTTTTATTAGTACTTCCATGCACCATTTATTTTCATCTGCGATAACATGACATGTATACTACACTCACTGCATTGCGAATAACCAGGTGTAAGATACGCTTTCATCGGTACGCCTCATAATACAAACATGAAACTAGAATTGAAAAATTGACCTACATCCAATGATAGCCACTTGCTTCAACTGGATGTGAAATCTATTTAACCTTGATTGGTTATTTGAAGACCACGAAAATTAAGACAATCAAGTGACGCCAAAGT